ATGATTCCTGTCTCTTTCCAGTATGTCCCAGTTTTTTGAAAATATTCAAGCAGTTTACTTGTAAGCAGTATAGAAACCGATGGATGCAGATCTTGATAACAGATCAGCAACTGAGAGTTTGGACTACCAAAGCCTAAAAATGATGTCCAGCAGAGACAGCCACCTTTCATATAACCCAGACAACAAACAAGACGCGAAAAATCGCAGATATTACCACTCAACAGTACAAACTACGCTAAAAATTTGCACATTACCGCATTTTGTAAACAAAATGACTGCAACTTTCTCAGTACTATGCATAAACCTCACCGTTTTTCGTGTGCTGCAGGGAAGAAGAAATAACTCCTCGGTACTCTGCAGCACAGTCTTATCCAGTGTATCAAAAACCTAAATGATTCTCTGCAAAAAAAGTTACAGAAGAGACAAAAAGTTTTTTTCACCTCTCTGCGATGAAGGCCAAGGCTGTTGTCTCGCCCATCCATAACTGTCCCAAAAACCTCCACTTTTTACGGTTAAAAAAAATACAATCTTTAAGCTGTAAAATTTCCGGAACTTATCGGACTCTAATGTCTCACTCATTAATCTTCAATTTTGCTTTGCTTGAGAGACAAGCTTATGCGAACAAATATATGAAAAAACTTTCTAAGCCAAAAATTCCAATAAAAACTGCTCTAAAATGTCCACTATCGAGGGATCAGAAAGGGAATTATAACCAGTTTATTTAATGATGCTCAAAGTTTAAAGCCTTATCTGTCCACCAATTAAAAAATTAGCAGTCTAACCGCATCACTACCTGAGCCCGACTGCCCATCAATTCTCAAAGCAGCATAGGTATCTTCTAGCAATGCCATTAGCCTCTAAAAGCACAAATATGATTATAACATAAATCGCAACCATCACCTTAACTTTGAAAGAAAACACCCCGCAAAACGCATCGTATGCGGTTGTAAAGATCAAGTCTAAGTAGTTTCTTCAGCGTAATTTCAAAGAAACCGGGCTAATTAGCGATTTATTTGCCACTGGAATCTAAATTTCAATTTCACAGAAATATATAAATACAGTATTTCACGAATATACAAATCACAGAGCACAGACAAATCAGAAACGCATTACCAATACTATACTAGATAAAGCAAAAACAATAAAGAACCTGCACCAATCAGTCAATTAATAGCAAAAACTCCTATTTATCTTAAATTGTTACTTACCATCCCTGATCATCAGTATTTCAGATGAAGAATTTGAGTGAAAAAAGAATACTTCAAAAAAGAATAAATGCTTATGAAAATCACTTCTAAATCTCCCAGTGAAACAATTTTCAAACGAAATTACACATGAAATACCTGTTAAAAGTTCTCGACAGATTTAAAACTATAAGGGCACTTCTGACATTTGAACGAAAAATGATAGGACCAAAATCTGCAATTAAAAAGTTCTGCCTTAATGTAAAAAAACCTCTCTGACGTCAAAAACTACCCAGTAAGTAAACTTTATTTTGGCAAGCAATAACGCGAATCCATTTTAGTAGCAGCTAGCGTCAAGTAAAACTATCCAATATTTGACCCCATTAGTTATTTTATTATTTGCAGAGAGAAGCAACGTTTCACAAAAGAAATAGAAACTACAGAAACCGCATCCTAATCTCATAGCTAACTTGACTACAGTGCACAGCACATTACTGACATTTTACAAAAATGAAACTCTCCAGATATCCCACCGCAACAGAACATCTGGGGATTTATACCTGAAGTGTGGCTGTTAATAAGAGTAATTATTAATAAGAACTGAATTAAAGCTCAATGCCCTTATGATTAGTTTAAGAAGACCAAGTTGTACGTCGCCTACAAAAAGACAGAACTTTTCTAACAAGTGTTAAATGTGAAGTCAAATAGAACATTAAATGAAAGCTCTGAGAAAAGACACTATATTTCTAGAATATGCACAAGCAGTGAGACTCGTATTTCCAAGTAAAGAAGGAATGCAAAAGCTGCAATTTTACAGCCAATAAATATGACACTGACATCGCCTGATTACTTTATTTTAAAGAAAAACGCAAAGTCAAAAAATCAATGTACCTACCGCAAGACAAGAAGTAAAAACAGATGTAAATAAAGAAATCAGACCCAAAAGACCCAAAAATCAGCTCACAATATCGTTAAATTTAATTGCAGCTTTTTTAGACTTCAAAAATCACACAAGACAAACACTGAAAAATATCCACACAAGGTTAACATGAAAAGAATTAAACAGCTCAAAGCTAAAGCTCCAAAAGAAAAACACATATGCGACCCATAAGAATATTAAGGACAAACAATCCACAACAAAACCTATGTAACATGTGCTTAAATACACCCTACCTTTGTACCAACTGCATAATCTGACGAATAACTTGCTCAAATTGAGAGATAACTTGTTGCTCCGCATGAAGAACATCTGCGGAAGAAGTTGAAGCATACTGTCTCAGTTGCCGAATAAAACCTTCTAACCTCGTTAAAAGCTCTCTAAAGTTCATCTCAATTTAATGAAAAAGTGAAAAAAAAAACCGGTAAAGCAAGGAGAACAGTACCTGTAACGAAATTTGGAATGTGGCGAAATGTTTTCAGCATAAATAGCACACATATGATGGAACTGTTGCATAATATCACTCAAGCGAATGAGAAGAGCATGCTGAGCATCACTTCGTGTGGCTCGAGTGGTAACACGCCCAACTCTCTCATTTCTGACATCACATATACACCCATCAAGTTGCCGATAAAGCTCAAGAAGAGATTCTTTATTCACCTGCAAATAAAGCCAAATGTCCAAGAAACCGCTGAAGAAGAACTAAACTACTATGATCATATTGAGTTCGGTATAGATTACATTTGAAGAAGTGGAATCTACAGATGAAGTGATCAGTGGAACTTTGGCCGAATTTTGAGAGCAGGTCGGACCTTCAAGCATAGAAAACCGTTTCTCTTTTTTGCGCGCTAAAAAGCATCATAGTAGAATCCAAAGCTAAAAGAACATTAAATACTGAAAACTAGCAATTTCCTACTCATCCAGAAAGCCATAAAAAAGAACATGGATGGTAACCTTGCAGAGAATTCTCAATATGACCTGATGTGGAACCCATACGTTCAAAACGTGAAGTAAGGTCGCGCAAAGATTGAGCTTTCACCATCCCGTTCAAAGACTCGTCAGTTTCATCAGCTGCACTCTGAATCCGTAGTTTGCAAGTGGGCTCACAAGCGTCATCAGACACCTCCTTCGGTGACCCGTTACTATTTAAAATCACCGAATTGGTCTAAAGTACAGATAAGAGTTAAATTTTTAAACAAGCAAGAAATTTAGGTCTGCACGAAAAGCTAACTTTGGCTGCTCGTTGGAGAGTAGAAAATTTTTGTGGCTGTACACCGGACCAATTTTTTGAGTTATTCCCAGCAGCTTTAGAAGATACATCATTCCCCCTTGGGATAGCTGAAGCTGAAACAACTATTTGAAGTTCAAAGAAGTACTTGAGTTATACCGCTAGTGATTTACTTTCAATACTGTTAAATAATTGATTAAAATATACAATATGAATAATTCACACACTTAATTCTGCTCATCTAAGTCGTCATAAATGCATAAAAAGCCAGTCACTATTCTACAACACCTACTCCTTTAAATGAAGAAAGTACTAGGTAGAAAATATGCTCAACAAACACCGTAAACTTCCAACTTCAAAATAAATCGTCGTGCCTTCAGCTTATTTATTCTCTTTAGGCAAGAAAAAACCGTTGCTTGAGAACCAGCATGAGGAGCTGATGTACCAAATAAGTTTAAACTAAAGTCATTTCTAGAAAGTGCTCGAGGCTTCAAAAGATAAGTTGCCAAAATTTTATGCAAGGCACTGCGTGACACGAGACTAATAAAGAAGGAATTAAGGCGCTTTGGGAACTTGACCGATCAACAAAGTAACTTTCTCATGGGAAACATGATTAAATATTCTGAATCTTTATACGCCTACCACAAAGAAACATAATTCTGGTAAACTAAATCACCAAAGAAAATATAAGAAGTGATCCCGAAAGGATAATGAAACTTAAGCCAAGTTTAAAAGACCATTATTGTGAAGCCAAATCCAGTATTAAATAACTTAGTTGAAGCATAATACGTCTCATCTATTCAAATTCAAAGACAATGTACAGAAGAGGTGTGAAAGCAAAATAAACATCTTATCATAAGCCATAAAAAAAATTAGCATAATCTAGTCCAAAAAATTAAGCGCTGTTACTGCTGAACCAATCGGTTTACATTTTGAAGAAATTCAAAAATTTCAGCTAATTTTAGTCGGCTAAGAAATAAAACTTTTCTCATCTACCCTTCAATCTCCAGTCTGCCATAAATTGTGTTTTTTGAAAATTTCCGACATCACACCTAAGACTGCATCAGCTCGGGTTACTTAAACACAAAACTCGGAAAGAAAATGCTTTTTCACCATGGGGTTTGCACTTTCAAGTGTAAACAAGTTTGCCATGCTAGAAATGAATACAAAGAGCAGTAAAAATTCAAAACCCAATCTTTTTGAGCAGAAAAAATAAACCGATATGAGAAAAAACTACGGATTTTTAAATTTTCATGCTTACGTCGAACACTTTACATTAACTAAACTACGACTTAAACTCTCACTGTTTCTGAAGGACAAAAAAACCTTGCTTGTTAGACAAACCGTTGTCGACCTCTGTTCAACTCCCAAAAGCTAGTCAAAAAAATTACAGTTACGATTTTTCAGGGAGAAATACGGAATTTGCCAATCAGAAAATACGCAACAAGCCCACCTAAACGCCAAAAAAATCCTTGTGAAGGCCTAAAACCCTACTTAAAGGCAAGCAAAGAAGTTTTGCTCGCAGTGTCGGTCTGGCTCAGAACTCTTACTGACCGCAATTCGTCAGCAAGGAAGAAAAAAAGAAAAAATTATGCTGCAACGGAAACTAGTGCATTGGTGTGGTAAAAACGTTCACACCAAAGAGAAAAACCTAAACAGGTAGGGTCGTAGAGATTTCCTCCTGTCTTACTAAGCTTATGAGCCAAAAAGTCATTTCCTGGGACACTCAGACAAACTGTGGGACATTTTTAGAATGAAACGCGCAGTACAAACCAATTTCAAACAACTGGCTAAATCAGGTAGCTCAAGCTTTTTCAAAACCAACATTTCTCACTGTACACATGAAAGAAAAAGGAGCTATAACGGCGATGGCGCTAGTTAAGACCTAATTATTTCAAAAAGGGTTGTGACATGGAATTTTCTGAAGAGAAACAACGAAATCAAACATTTAGATCCTTAAAAAAATCCGGAGAAAATCAACAAACTATAAAAAAGCCGCGACAAGATGAAAAACCTAAAAACAAAGCTCTAGACTTTAGAAACTTACAAGCTAAACAAAAACAAGACGCATAGAAACAATCACAGATTATGCTTACATCCTAGTTCCGATAATTTAAAGTAATATCATCCTGCCGAAAAATGACAAACTCTTACTAGAATCTTGTCAATCATTTTAACAAGATAAAAGCCTTGAGACAGAAAATACAACTTTAATCATAAATTTAAAAGTTAGTTACGTAAAATCTAATAATTACATGAAACCGCATTTTCGCCACCTTCTTCCGAGTCGCTGCTTAGATCCGCGGCCTGCATAGAAAACGGCCGATGGTGCTGTAAAGGCGCCACTTTCTGAGTCACTAGAGTGCGAATGCGAGCGGTTTCGGCACCTACCGGCTCATGACGCTCAGC